GTCCTGCTACCGTGCACTGCTACAAAGACCCTGTCTCCATCCATACGATGGTCTGCTTGTAGGTAGGAAAGGCAGCTCTGAGGTGCCCCCAGAGCTTTCCCTTCTGCAGGCAGAAGAAACTCTCCCTTCAAGCTCTTCTTGCAAGTTAGGTGCTGCAGCTCCTAAGACTCAGCTGGGCTTGCTTGTCATCAGTGCCACCTTTTTCTACATTGTCCAAGGACTTGAGTAACTACCTATCTGGCTTATCTACATGTCTTGCCCTGTGACCTCTTTTAGCAATGGTTCTAATTCAGAAATCAAATGATAGCATGTTTTAGTATCTTCTAAATGTTTTCTGACAACAGCCACCTACCAACATCATCCTTGTAGATCCAAATGCCTCTTGAAATACTAAGTGATTGAAACTTAAATGGTAGAGTACATAACATGAAGCTCAGCAAAAAATTGACTGGAACACTGCTATCTGAATGAGACCATTCCAAATTGCTAATAGATCTTGGGAAATGTATTACCACTGTTCTTATGTAAACTGCATTTTTGCATATAGCCATGCTACACAAGAATGATTTTTTTAAAAAATGCTGCTTTTGCAGTGAACCTCTAACACACTATGAAAAAATAGTTCCAATATTTATTTTTTAAATTTTTCAGAAGTCTTTTAAAATCAGGTGACTAAAATTTACTTCTTGAATGTGAGTGCTGCAGTTTCATTTTGAGTTCTGAGTAGCTGCAGACCTCACTGAAGCACTGGAAATTTCTGATGCTATTACTGAGTGGCACTGGTGGAAATTTGAGGGCCGTTACACATTGAGATCTATGCTAGATCACCTAAATTCCATTATCCTGTAGTATCTGGGAGGTCTGATTAACTGTTATCAAAGTCCAGAGTTCCTACTCAATTTTCTGACATGTTAGTGCTTTTCAATCCCATGGTGAAGGTGAACAAATCCACTTAAAGATTAAAAGATCAAAAGAACATACCTGTAGGTTACAGGAAAATGACCCAAACATAGTTTTAACTCCAAATCAGTCTCTGAGCTGAACATTATGGCTCACACCTTGTTTTCATGTCGTATTTCTCCACTGTGTGATAATTTCATTTGCCACATTGTTTAGGAATAATGAATGAATGTGAATTATACAGATGATCCCAATTAAATGTCAGAAAAATCCAGCCAGAAGGGTCCATTCTGTATTTATACCTAAGGAAAAAAAAAAAAAATAATTAATAATTAAAGAGTTAACTTATGCATACTGTTTTTCATATAGTACCTGCAAAATTCATGCTGCCATAATGGGTCAGGCAGGCTTTGGAATTACACAAATATCAAACAAAAAATGTAATTTCCCTATCTTCAGGGAGTTATGAATTTAAAATTTGATACCTTGTGAACCCCTTGGTCTATGTACAAATTTTATGCTTCACCAGAAAGCATGGAATCCTAGTTCTTCAAAGGGATAAGATACAGATGTTTCTGTGCTGGTGATTCATTATATAGTAAAATGTCACTGCCTAGAGAACAGCACTGCATACTGAAATTTAATTTCACCTGATTCCCATTTGGAGGGAAAGAAGGAAACATTTTTATGTTATAAAAAAAAAAAGAAAAAGAAATGGCAGCTGTTTGAAATTTGCTGAGAGGTTTGGAATGTAGTTTTAGTTGAGGTGTATTAGCAGGCAGAAAGCAAGCAAAGTTGTAAAAGGTGCAAAATAGGTCCATGATACTGTTCTTATGTCTGTCTTACGAACACAGGTATCAGGAAAGCATTTGAGTATGACCAAAATTCTATATATTCACTTGCATTTATTGTGCAGATAAATACGCTTGGGAACTGGAGCTTTAGAGGCAATAGTCTTATGGTTCGAATGGTTCAAGCTGGGTTTCTTAGAATTAAGCTGATTTTACTTAAGTGCCCGAATATGGGTTTCTGTTTATAAACATACGTGCTTCACTCTGTGTTAGTGTGCCTGCATTTGTAATGGAGTTCACAAGCCTGGGATTCAGTACCAAAGTAAACTCCACTGAGCTAGAGTTTCAGAAGTATGATTTACAGCAAAGGGAACATCTATGCCAAACAACAGAAAACACTCAAGAGAAAGATATTTCTGAAAATGTATTTATCTTCTGGTTTTAGGAGCTTGTACAATATAGTTTCAGAGCTGGAAACCACCTTCTTGTACTTAAGACATCCATATATCTCTGTGTCACCATTTAAACCAGGATAGCATGTGCATCATGAAAAGAAGCAAAACTAAATGAAATCAAAAATATGCAAAAGAAGGACATGAGGTAGAAAAAATGGATTCAGCACTTTCCTTAGATTGAGGGAATTAAGTTCACATTTCCATTTCCCAGGAAATTCCCTATATACAAGCCTTGAAGAGATTAAAAAAGTAAAGCCTCTCCTGGTGTATGACTCAGTGTAGAAAAAGATGTGAGATTTGTAATCTTGATTTAGGCAGAGAGTTAAACGTGATTTCATAGCTCAAGGATGGAGGTGCTTACCTGCTGGGGGAAGGAGGAGGGGAGGCAACCTGGATTCTGGCCCCTGCTTCAAGCACTATGTACCTATGTTACTCAATTACAAATGCAAATTGTGTAGGCAGCCCCTGGGGCAAGAACCCAGGACTTCCTCTTCAAAAGGAGCACCTATTAGGGTTGCAAATTATCCTCTTTCAATGAATCTGGCTTCCTCTCCAGTACAGAAGTATGGCTTCAGCAGGCAAGACAGACAGTTCTCCAGCCTGGGCTTCACCTGGAGTTGGTGGCAGATGCACTCTTGGGAGGTGTGGGAAAGATCTCCTCAGAAAGAGACTAGCAGTGAACATGCATCTCCCAGTTCATGGAAGAGTGCCTTATCTACAACTAAGATATTATGTAAGACGTTGGCAGTCATGCTGCTACAACCTCTGGACATGTTTCTGGGAGAAAGTCTCTGGGGCTGTTGTGTTTCATGATGAGGCTGTTGTAGTTAGTCTTACCTCATGAAGCCTCTCAGGAGGTGCCTCACCTGTACATCACGCAGGCTTTGGGGCAAGGTAGGTTTCAAGATTCTCAGCTGTATAGAAATAGCAGTAGCAATTTGGAAATGCAATAGCAGAACTTTTAGATCATTTTATCAGCAAAAACCTGATGCAGAAACTTGTGGTGGTTTTGCATACATGTGTAAATATAGCTTCCTCGCATTCTTGTTGCTGTTCTTGAATTTGTCTGTCGGTGACTTTCTCAAAGTTATTTTGTGATCCAGCAGCAGGGTATCAAATTAGAACCCAGAAATCCTGCTCTGCTACAGTCTCTCTGTAAGACATGTAAATATATTTACAATTAAAACCAGTATTTTAATGTTGTTTTGTTGGAAAAGAAGTAGCTGGCACCTATCTGATTTTGAGAAAAAAACTCCTCTGACACTCTCCATATCCATTAAGTATTTTGTCTCTATGTTATTGTCATGGGTTTGTTATTTCCTTGAAAGATTTTCTGATAGGTTCTTTTTCAATCTCTCTGTTCTCCAGTCCCTGTTATCTTTTATTCTGGGTTTTGTTCCCTCAGGAGACTATAATCCTGCTTGCTTTGCTCCTCTCATCATGTACTTCCTTCCAAAGGGACTACTTGTCTAAATGAAGCAACAGGAGGATGAAGGGCAGATGTTTTTTACTATTATTTTGAATACAATATTATAAATGCACACTTGTAACTTTTATGCATAAAGGAATACATTATATTTGCTTTGGATAATGCTAAACAATCTATAACAAATTAGTATTTACAGTAAAAAATACACAGAAGACTACAGCAGGAACAGCTTTCAAGTATGATTTGTCTTTAAAAAAAATTGGTTAAGTCAGTTTCTGCTCTCAGGCTTCAGTTCAGAGAAGCATTTACACCACCACTGAATAAGGTATTTAAGTACATTTTTAAGTTTTATGTGGTATGAGAAATTTTGGTAAATGGGTCCTTATTTGGGAGAACATCATAGCCACATAGATTTTGGTCCCTGCTGTGCTTATGGCTGCTTCCTTTCTTCAGTTCACTGTATTAGTATTCATTCTTTAGTGGGTCCAGTTCATCCAGTTTGAATATTGATTCACCAGAAAGAACTTGAGAATTACCTTCCCTTTGTGAAAAAGGAACTTCCAAATGGTAATGTGCTCTTTGATGGTTTTGGTTTTTGGCTGGTTTTGGTGAGGTGTTTTTTTGCACTACTTGTTACTTATTTTGAATTTGGGCAAGTAGGCCCCACCTTGCTTTTTCTGTTGGTCATCTAAAATGGTGATACAACTGCAACCTCAGTAACATGGATCTGAAGCTCATCAAACTTTCAAATATATATTCAACACCTCCTAGAAATAAGGAGTTAAAAGATGTCCAAGAAATGAGAGACTTTTTATTTAGTGGATGAAGAAGGAAACAAAAATACTGCATCTCTTCCCCTCACTCACTGTACCTGGATTTAAAATTAGTGCCAATGAACTGAAGACACTGCTCCTATCTGAAAAAAAAAAAAAAAGGTTTCCTCAATCAATGTCAGCTGAAAGCTTTGGCCTTAACCAGTGTGTTTCACTGCTAGCCACACACAAGGCTCCTTTCCCCTAACCACCTGTATACTGTCTTCTTTGCACCAGAGGGCAAGAACCCTTTAGAACCAAAGCTGAGGATTGCCTCTAAGGAAAATTCCATTTTTATTTTTTTTTTTCACGCATCATTTATTTACAAATACACATTATAACTTTTATATACATTGCACATTTACATGGTAGAAAAGTACAAAACTATATATTTAAATGAATTTATATTTAACTCGCCATGTTTGAAAATATAAAATTGCATCAGAAAAAAAGTATTATGAAAAGCAAGAAACTTGAACTGATAAAGCTTTGATATAACTTTTAGTGACACACTGATTGGGAAAGAAAACTTTGAAAGTGGTACTGAAAGACCATCTTAAAGGAAACACCTGATAAAACAGTTATGCATGTTACAAAAAAAAACCCGAAACAATAAAAATAAAATAAAACCTTTATTCTTATTCAGTAAGCCCTGTAGTTAACAACCTTCATAATCCGATTTCTTTGGGTCTGGAATTTGTATAGTACAGTATAAATGCTCAGAACATTGAGATCACTTCAGTACACGATGTGATCAGAAGTAGAGAAAAGTGAAGTGGAAGAAGTTTCCTTAAAGATTGCCTCACTGCACCCTGGAAGTATACTTAAGTCAGTTACAACGCCTTTTGGTCAGTCAAGATTCCTTGTAAACAAAAACCCGAGGAGCTTTTACGTACAGAACCGGCAAGAAGAAAATCCAATAAATAAACATAATAGAAACCAACATGCAAGTTTGTTAAAGTGGAAAAGAGTTAACATCAGTGAAACAGATGAGATCATGTGGGTAAGCTCTAAGGAATGGACTTTTATAGTTTGCAAGAAAAAAGAAAAGCTTTACTTTACAAGCAAGAGACCTCACAATAAATAACACTGCTCTTCCCGTAACGAATAAATTTCTTCAAAAAACAAGGTGTACAGTCAACCAGACATTTTATGTATAAATTATAAAACATGACACAGTATAAATAAATGTCTACGAGACTCAACTATATGTATACTTTTTTTTTTCTCCCCAAAATAAATAGGCATACACTTATGTACAGTATGGACATTGATTTTGTGCCCAATGGCTGTTCCAATAAGTGATGGAGCTTTTACCACTCTAGAATGGAAGATATAGGAAAGCTGTAGTCCTGGTCTTCATCTTCGTCTTCGTCCTCTGGGTCTTCATTAATGGCTAGATGGGGGAATACAGGGGAGCTGTTGTTTAAATAAGGACAACAACAGCGCAGAAGCAGCTCAGTGCATGTTTTCAAAGCCCTCTGAACAGCCATAATACAGCGTTGCATTTTATGCGACTTGTAGTGAGATGCTCTTTGGCATCTGCTGTTATGCAATAAGGTTTTTTATACGTAATCTATGAAGTCAAAACTGCAGGAAGTTCTGAAGAATCAATGGCTCAGGTTTTATTGGCAGATTCCTGAAATCAAATGAAAAGCGCTCTTGCGTTCTAGGTTTAATTGTTTTGTGTCCTTCATTCAGAGTTAGAAGAGGCAACTGTGCTCAACCAGATGCCCATGTGCTACCATTAGGCTTGTTCTTTTGGACCGAGTTAAGAGTTTATCAGGGCGTTAATAAAGCAATCAGCGAAGCACACGAGAGCAGACAAAGTAGGAAAAAAAAAATCACTAGAATTACATTCTTAGGGCAACCCCTTTCTGACAGAATGACTTGTCCTTTGAATATCCCCAAAAAACCCAACTTGAAGGTCAGCTGGTTGTTGATCTATTGCATTTAATCAGTAACCAAAGTGTGTGCATGATAGGTACATACGTATATGTCACCTGTGCTGTATCTCAAATCTCCAAGTCGAGCTTTCTTATGTTTAAAGGCGTAAGTCTTCAGTACCTAGGGATTGCCTTCAGAAGCTTTAAGTGTCTGCAGAGTTAAAAATCTCACTTACAGTTGCAAGATCCAGAGTGCTTTACTTCTAGAAGCACACCCATGGAGCAGGCTGCCTCTTTCATGGCACACTCACTTGGGTAAGTGGTGTTATCGCTGGCACAGACTGCCTCGTCTGACTTGCTTTCAGGGCAGAGCTCATCGCAGAGGGCGCACCGACCTCTGCCAACCTTAAAATCCCACAGGCATTTCTTCCCAGCACTGCACTGAATGTCTTCACAGGATTTGGCTTCTAAAAATACACACAGGATACAAGAGGTAAGTGAAAAGACAAAAAAGAAAAGCAACAACAAACAACCCCAAATTCCTCTTCCCCTTGTGAACTGTGAATAGACAAAGCTCAGATGCAGGAGATGTGAAGATACTTGCTGATTTTGCTCAAGCAAGTAGTCCCTCGGACACCATTGCCTGTCTATATGTGGGGGAGGAAAGACAGCTGTGCCAGCAGAGCTTGGCCCTGGGAATACAGAATTACATTTGCCTATTGTACATGACTTTCCTGCTTTGTTTGAAGTCTGTGGAAATTCAGCTCTCCAAATTAGTGGTAAGTGCAGAATTTGTCAACACATTCAGCATTTCTAAATCAATTATTTTTAAACTAACCCACACAGAGTAGTTGCCTACAAGACTGGAAAGAGAATTCACCTCAGCCTTTGCCAACTAAAAGCAGCCTCCCCCAAATTTCCTCAGCAGTTTTGGAGAGCAGAGCCTGCCCTGAAGGTGCTTCCTCATAACTTGCTTCACTATCAGTCCTTTCTGGAAATCACAGTACAAAATGTCAGGATGCACAGAGATTATTTTCCTATCTTCACCCACCAACTGTCTCCAAACTCTGCATTATTTCTAAAGAGGGAAAAGTGATCAGATGTTTCCAATTAAGTTAAAGCAAGCTTTGCCAAGACCACTTGAAGACAATTGTTTCCAGGAATCCAGATCCACTGAATATCGAGACCTTGTTACACTGTAACCATGTCATCATCTATTTAATGGCGGCTACTTCTCCCTTGGATACTAATGTCAGCACCCACAGTGATAGCAAGAGAAGCAGGATCAGTCCCTCTACTCCCTCACCCCTTCCGCAGCCTTTTCTAGGGCAAAGCTCTCCCTGGCTCTCCTTCTTCTGGTGGGGAGCACTAACCCAGGCTGCTGGAAGCCTCTCCTCCTCCCCAGCGCTCACTACGTCCATCCAATTGCACACACAGTACTCTGAAACTGCTGACCAAGGAAGCTCCCCCCACCCTTACCCTCCTACCAAGATACCTACTGATGCATTTTCCTTCGTAGGCTAATCCAATGGATCTGCCCAGTAGACAAGTAGCTTTCCTCAGGTGGCAGGCGCTGGCGTAAGTGATGCCATCATTCCCGCATAGATACTGTTCAGGGGAGGTAGGTTCTGGGCAAATTCGATTACATGTCACACAGTAGGCGTTGTTAGTTTGGTCAACCACACACGTGGAGCTGCCGGGGCATAAGACATCCCTACAGGTCTCTGAAACAAAGATGGAAACACACAGAGATTAACAGGAGATCCTGGAGCCCTGTTGAGGAGTAAAAGGGTGCCACAATGAAACAAATGATCAGATTTGCCTTCACTGGCTCTCACCATTTAAGGGCAGCTGGAGGGAACTTTCCCAACTCAGGGTAGCTAGTGGGACACAAGTGCTGCTAGACTGTGAGGAACCCTCAATCCAGCTAGGGCCTTGTCTGCTGAGCATGGTTTAGCTACTGTCTCCCAGCATTAGGAACACCACTCTGGCTCCTGTGGGGAAGTACATCCAACAGCTCCTCCCTACACTGACACACACCCTTTGGCATTGGAGGGAGATGGGATTAGATATGCAAACCTACTTTTGCATTTGCCCTGATACTGGACTTCAAGTTCGGGCTGTTCTTTACATCTGGCTTTGAGAAGGGCACACTCGTTCCTGTAGGTTTTCCCATCTAAGCCACACACGGGACCCTTCCAAGTGATATTAGAGCAATCCGGAGCACAAACACACCGAGGTTTGTTCTTCTTGTTCATTTTACATTTCTTCCCGGGTCCACAGTCCACGTTCTCGCATGTTTCTGATGGAAGGAAAGAGGCACCACTTTAGTACCGAGTGTGCAGAACAGACCTGGTGTCAAAACTGCTTGAAGAAAAAAAAGACACTGTGACCCCAAAGCACAAACACCTTCCCCTCACCCCCCTCCGGGAAACACCACTCCAGGGAAATTGCCCCCGCCGCTGAGGGCTGGGGCAGAGGGGGTAAAGAGGAGGTCGCTCCCCTCCTCCCGGCGACCAAGCAGAGATGGGGTTCCCTCACCCATCCCGGGGCCGGTATGAGACGCCCCTCAAAGGCCCAGCGAGAAAGGAGGCGGGAGGAGAACGCTCTGCCCCCGTCACCCCCCTCCTTTCCTTCCCAACTCCTCCTCCCCCAGGCCCTGTCTGCACCGCTTCCCAGCCAAGAGCAGCTCGCCAGCACCCCCTCACCTTTGCACGGGATGCAGTTTGGAGCTCCCCCATTAAAAATCATCCACTTAAAAAGCGTGTTGTCGTTGACGTCCTCCTCCGTCCACGAAGTCGTCAGGCGGCCGGTCTTGCAGCACTCCTCCTTGCTGAGGTCGGTTTTGTAGAGGACCTGGCAGCGGCCGTTCCGCGCCTGCCGGAGCCAGCAGTTCCCAGCTGCGGGGGGGCCGGGAGGACAGACAGACAGACACCCAGCCGGGTCAGTGGCGGTCGCCAGTGACCCAGACACAACACGTGCGCTTCGCAGTGACTTTTACTAGACTGTTTACTTTTATTTGTCCCGTTTCATAACCTGCAACTACTCCGGCCCACTGGGGAGAGCAGTCGAAAAATTTAAAAATTAAAAAAAAAACAAACCCCGCAACCCAACAAACTGACCCCACCACCACCACCACAACCACCAACAACCAAACCCCCAAAACCCACCCTCCCCCAAAAGAAACTCAGAGAAAACCCGATCAAAGCAGGACGAGGCAGTTTTCGGAGGTATTTATTCCATATGTAGAGCAGGAGCACTGCCGGCACGTGACAGAGGCTTGAAAAGGATGTGCATTTAAAAGGGAATAAAAAGAAAATCGCGCTTGCAAATTCCTTCCTCCTCCCCCTGCCCTCTCCTCCTCACCGTGGCTGCACAGCAGCATTGTTTTAGTGCCGCACAGTGTTTCAGTCTCAGCCCATTTTGCAATCTGCACGAATTGGGAACATTTGCTCTTAGCGAGGTCTTTCGAAATCCCCACATTTTGCTGCTTCTATTAACAAATGTCTTTCCTTCACTAAAATAAATCAGCAGAGCTCCCAAAAAGTGAGCAAAGTACATAAAATACAAGGGCACACAGAGTAGGAGGTCCCTACAGAGTTTTAGAAATCGATCAAGCTGGAAAAGTTGTAGGTGCCGTCTCTCCCGCACGCATTTCAGAAGAAAGTACACTGACCTTACACCGGATAGAGTGGGTTTGGGGATTTTCCCCCCCCCCCTTTTTATTTTTTTACTAGTATCCCTTTTATTCGTGGAGTCAAGCCAAGAACATTAGTCCAAGCAACTCCCCCTTTTTCAGCTGGAGAGTTTTGGTTGGGATGAGTCTCTCGTGAATAACCAATGTGACTTCTCCAGCAACTCAGTACCAATTGATTATGGTGCTAATCTGCCTCCTTACTCCAATGGCAGCGAAGGGCCAGGATCAGCCAGACGGGATGTCGCTGGACGCGGGGGAATATCCCCCTTCATTCTCTCCCCCCCCCCGCCCCCCCCCGCCCTAAAAATTATTGCACAAACAACGCCTCTAAAAAAAAAAATAAAGTTTTACGCCTCACTGTTGCCCACATTAGGTTAATTTATGCTCTAGTGGGAGAGAAAAGGAATTAAAAAACATAGAACAAGTAATGGTAAGACATCCAGGCTGGGGCTGGAGCACAGTCAAGATACGGGGAAAAAGCCCCCAAACTAAAAATCATTATTCCCTTGTGTCGAAAGAGGGCTCTTAAGAGTTGTCAAAAAAGCAGGTTCGGGTTTGTTTTGCTTGCAAGAAAAAAAAAAGGCAACAAAAAACCCCAAACCAACTCATTTAAACCTAATCTTCAGTGCAGGGGAATTTACAACACTACCATTTATTCACATACACCAAAAAAGCGGGGGGGGGGGGGGGGGGGGTGGGTGCAGGAGGAAATTCTAATATTAAAGGAATGTCCGGAAAATGACCACTTACTGGTTCCTAAAAATGTCAGCTGTAATCGTGGGGCTCCCCATCATCACCTCTCCTTCCGTCAGGAAGGAGGCGAGATAAAAATCTGAGCTAAATTACCAACAAACTTTGAGCACTCAAGCGGGAGCTGCGACTGGGAAAGTTCCCTCGCGATGCTGCTCTTCATTCACGCTGCATAATAACAGTAAATACCAAGAAACATCCTTATCTGTCCTCTGTGCCCATGCAGAGCAGTGCGAAGATCCGATCAAAAAGGCATCTAAATGACACCTCGGTACAAAGCAATCCCATGCCCACAGTTAACTTCTGTCCTGTTGGACCTTGGAGAGAGGCGCTTAACACCGCAGCCAACGAGACCGTGCCCGAAAGACGGAAAGCAATAGTAGTAATAATAAAGAAACGCATCTGCGAATAAATAGTCTGGTCTTACCCTGCACTGTGTGATCTTCCATGAAGTGGCACAGAAACATCAGGAGTAAGAGCATGCCCGGCTGGATTCTCTGATTTAACATCCTCAGTGTAGCAGCGAGTGAGAGACACAGAGACGGCGTGAGGGGGAGTAGGGAGAGGGAGCGAGCACTAACCAGCCTGCTTATGATCGCTCTATTGAATGAACGTCAGGCTCTGAATGCAGTCTCTCTTTAAATCTATACGGGGGTCCTAGCTGTCTGCGGTGGGCGGTCTCCTAATGTGTGTGTGTGTGTGTGTGTGCGTGTGTGTGTGTGTGTGTGCGTGTGTGTGTGTGTGTGTCTGCTCGGGGGTGGGGAGATTTAAAAAGTTCAGTGTGAATCAGGTGACATTTTCCACCTTCTGGAAGCCCTCTCCAATTATCTGCTCTAGGTGCACGCAGGCTCCGGCGCGCACCCGCGCAGCCCCGCTCGCCGCAGGAGCCGGAGCCCTCCGGCGCGGCCGCGGACGGCAGAGCGAGCCCCTCGTCGCCTCCGCTGCGGAGTCCCCCGCGCCCTCGCAAACTGGAGACCCGGGGAAGTCGCGGCCTCTCCAGGGGCGCCCCTCGCCCCCTTTGCGGAGAAGCGTTGGGAGCGGAGGGGGGGGGGGGGGGGGGGCGGGGCGCGGAGGGTTCCGCGGCCGCGGAGAGCTGTCGTCCTCGCGCGAAGCAGCTGCTAAGATTAAACCTTGTTCCCCGCGCCCGAATCGGCCCCCGAAATACCCCAACCTGAACCTACCAGCCCACCGACCTGCCCAAGCCCCAAAACAACCACCGACAGAAAAACAAAATATCGAAAAGGGAAAAAGAACCAAATAAAAGTTTAATACCTAGGGCTGTGCCCAAGTGACAGCCTTTTCAGTGGGAGCCCGGGAGGACGAGACGGGAATGGGGGCGACGTAGGCGGTCTCCTTTCAGAATCAGAAAAGATTGCAACATCGATAATGAACTTCTAGGGCACTAGTTTATTAAGCACAGTCTGGCATTATTCTCCCCTTAGAAAAGTTGGCGGTCTCTCATTTATAACATTTTTTGGCACCGCTGAATGAAACTGAGTAGGCGATATTTCCTTTTATACAAAACGATTACTTAACGGAAAATGGTATTGTTTATTCAAAAGCTGCCTTTTAAATTTCGATTCTTTCGCTTTTCTGAGCCACCAAAGCACAACAGACTGCGAAGTATGCAGACAGGAATGCCCGGACAGTGCCGGGTCAGGGGCCGGTGCGCCGCGGCCGCCCGCGCCCTCCGCCGGGCCCTCCCCACACCCCTCCTCCCGCTCCCGCCCCACGGTACCGCGCAACACCCCCCCCCCCCGCCCCCTCCCCACAACTGCAAATAACTCAGTGATAACAGATTTTTTTCCACCAACTGCAGGAGATAGTGCTAATCTTTTAATAAAAGATCCCATTACAATGGGATCTGTCTGGACAGACTATAATAGATCCAGAAATACAGCCGTGCTAATATTAGAAGACAGTTGTTTGGGTGCCTCAGACCGGGCCCTGGTCCCGCTTTGAAAGTGGGCATGAATCACAATGTCCCCCGGTACCACCTGCGGTCACACGCATTAAGAAGCAGACTGGTAAATGATTGACCTCGCTGCATTTTTTTTTTCCTTTTTTTTTTTGTTATTATGATCATCGTCCTGAGCAGCTCTCGGGCATTTTGAGCACTTCAGAAGCTCCAGGACTCCACATCCTTTTTAGTCTTTTCCCAAATTGGTGCCACTCTCCCCCCCCCCCCCCAACTCCCCCTTCCTTTCCCTCCCCTCTCTCAGGAGCAGCGTTAATGCAGGGTTGCTTAGTGCCCTCTAATGGCAGACACTAACAATACCAAAACACCCTGCACCCCTTGCGTCGCGGATGAAGGGCTGCTTCCAAACCCTGCTTTTCCTGCCGGAGAGGATGGATGAGGGGAGCAAGGTGCAACCTCCCCCCACCCCGGGGCCGGTCCCCACTGGCACGGCTGTTACGGGCTGTGCGGGCACCGGGGGAGCCAGGCGGGATCGGGCCGTCGTGGGGGGGGGGGGGGGGGGGGGGGGGGTGCGACGGGGGTTGTTGGAAGGGGCGCTGGGCCCGCAGAGGCAGCGAGGACGGCCTGGCTGTCCTCGCCGCACCCTTCCGCGCCCCCGCGGAGTCCCCTCCAACTTGCTCCGCGGGGTCCGGCCGTCGCAGCTCTGCTGCGCACCTCTGGAAGCAGCGTATTCCACATCCCGCCCCCCCCCGCTTGCCCTCCGCGGCAGGACGGGGGCCGAGCCGCTTCCCACCCAAGCATGGTGTCCTGGGATGGGGGGGGGGGGGGGGTTCGAGGAGGGGGGTCCTGGCTGCAGGGCGGGGAGCGCAGGCGGCTGCTCCCGAAGGAGGGGCACAGCCCGGCCGCGGTGCCGTGCGTGCTGCGGGGCGAGGCGCACCTTTTCTTACGCGTTTGTCTGTGTTTTTTTAATAATTGGCCAGTACGGTGTTTATCCTGATAATGTTTTCAATTATAGAGAGGCATTTTCAGGCCGTATTCCTGGAAATGAGATGCCAGATGGGTCGATAACGTTTGCACATGTGCTTCATGCGTGCATCATCAGGAGATCAATATGATTGCCCTGGTATGGAGATTTGTATCACACCTGTTCTCTGACATCACATAGAAACAGCTGCTGTTTCTTTTATTGTTGTTTTTTTTTTTTTTATTTCTTCTCTCTCCCCCCCTTCTTTTTTAAATGCTAAATATTGGGCTTGTGTGTAACAACATGTCAGGCATATATTGTATAATCAGAAATGCTTGCTTCTTTCTCACTGTGTGCCTCCCTGTACGAACCTCCCCACCCCTTTCTGCTTTGCCAACAATCACATTTAAATTACCAAAAATACAATAGGGTCGATCTGTAATAGAATTGCCAGGCAGCACACAAAAAGAGTGTTGTTCTCAGCCTGACAGGTTTTAAAACTTCTTTCTCCCAAGAAGTGTATGCATTTTAATACATGTTTTTGGATGTGAATCCAATCTTTGCAGCTGGCCATGATCTTGTAATAATAAAGGCTTTTAAAAACCCCATATATACCAACATGTCAGACTTTCAGAAAGTTCAGATTTAGCTCTCAATTTACATAAAATGTATATTATTGTCCTATCTGTAATATAGCTGTAGCTACAACAGGGACTCCATAATCCAAAATGCTAAGTGGTTGGTCTCTGAAGAAGATTGCAGCAAAGTTCTAAGCAGGAGGAAAAATAATCCCCAAGAATAACTTTGTGTGACGTGCTATTAGCATGCATATATATCTACACACACGCACACATACATAAACATATGGGGAATATTTATTTTGTGATAAGTCAGTATTCATTGCACTAGTATAATGTATTATCTTTTACTCTTTTCTCCTCAATGAGCTGCCTCTCAACAGCAGTTGCTCATATCAAGAATGGACCACAGCAGACCCTCTCTTCTATAAGGAGTGTGTCTTCATAACATTTTGCAAGGGTGTGGACAGGATTCCAAGGAAAAACTGGTTATTTGGAAAGGATCTGGATTTTGGGCGTGTGAAAATTGGAAGGCCTATCCTGGCATTTTCTAACCTAACATTCAAGGAAGAGGAAAAAGACTCAAACACCCTCCTGTGGTCCTGGATGCATGCATCATCCAATGTGGTTTCTCGCACAACTGGCTTTTCCCACAGACCAAGCACTCATATAAAGGTAGAACGTCCTCTTCTGGTAGGAGAGAAAACTTGTTAACCTTTGTTCCCGTCTAATTGTCTGGCTTATCACAAAAAGAAGGGCCTGTTTCTGGAAAACTGCACTTTTACGAAGGTTCCCTTCTTTTTGCATTTCAGGTACCAGTTTTAAGGACTATTCTGAACACTGATGTATTGTTCCATTTGAAAAGCTTCCCTCCGACATTTGTTTTTTTCTTTCCATGTGTAGGGCAATACAACAGCCTTTTCTGCAGAAATTTCATATGCTGTTTCTCAGCATAAAGTAGCATAAAAATTTGCATTATAAAGGTTCATTTCTTGATTTGGCCAAGAATTTTCCATGAAAATCAAACAAATAAATTCCTGATAAAACTAAGCTCCAAAATACATTAACTAAATTCTAATACTAGGCAGTGGATGTGTGTGCTATTGCACTGAAACTGTTCCCACACCTAACTGGGACTCTTAAACTCAGAACTTGCATTGTATGCTGTTGGGCTTTTTAGATTAATACAGGTATGTTGCACAGTTATTTTTCTAAGTTGACCTAAAAATTGATGTCATTTCTTCAAGTAGTGGGCAATGGATTGAATTAAGAGGTAGTAGAGATCTTACATAAAAAAATACCACAGGTAAAAGTTGCAAAGGGAATATAAGTTTGACCATCTGTAGGTGTTTGGCAAGTCACATCTGAAAAGCTGTCATCCCTTTTGACAAAGACAGCTGGAAATAGGTACACTGTCTGAAACTTCTCCCTGTGGTTCCATGGAAAGAGAGAATTGAGAATCATTAAGCAGTCCTCTTGTAGGCTAGCAATTTTCAGTTTTAACTCTCCATCCTATGACAGATAGTCTCGAAGGCACCCAAAAGATTCAGCCTGGCTCAGGGAGGATCTTACTGCTTTCCTCAACTACCTGAAAGGAGGTTGTAGTGATGTGGGGTTGGTCTTTTCTCTCTGGTAGCAAGTAATAGACGTGAGAAAATGGCCTCAAGCTGTACTAGAGGAGGTTTAAATGGAGATGAGGAGCAATTCCTTCCCCAAAAGGTGCTCAGGCATTGGAACAGGCTGCTGAGGGCAGTGCTGGAGTCACCGTCCCTGAAGTAGTCACACACTGTGTAGATGAGGGGTTGGTGCCCTGGGTTAGTGATGGCCTTGACAGTGCTGGGAACGGTTGGACTTGATGATCTTCAGGGTCTTTTCCAACCTGTTTGATTCTGTGATTCTGTGAACTGCGGCTCGGGAAGGATAGAAGGACATTGTGACGCTGAGTACTCTGATCTTAAGTAGCTTTTGGGAGCCTGTGGAGGTTTAGCAGCTTTATGTGTTTGTGGCTTTGTTCATACTGTAGAAAGGACATGTAGATGGGTGGCATTCAGAATTTAGGTCAGATAAAATTGACATGTACGTGTTATGACCCAAACTGACCACTTTCTTAACTTTTATTGGTGATACAGGGAGTAATAACAGAATTGTGTATCCCTCCAAAGTTGTTGTAAACAAGAACAAGACAAGCTGTCTCAGACACTCCAATAGCATTTTATTCTCTTGTATTGTCAGTACCATGAAC